CAGACCCTTTTTAAAGTAAAAAACTTCTCATGGACTCCAGAGAATCCATCCAGGCACCTCTGGGAAACACTGCCAGTAAAAATTAAGGTGGTACCTTAGGCACTGACATGACTGGAAGTACAAAGGCAGGCCCTGAGCTGTTTTAAGGTTGTTACCCAGATAACACAGGATATTCTTACATAAACTTTATTTTCAGTTTATTGAGACAAAAATACAAAATTTAAAATTTCTTATAGGAATTTGATACCTAGGGATCTGTTTGAGAAATGCCAGATCAAAGCACGCTACTCCAATCTCTTCCTCCACCTTACGATGATTATTTTTGGTTTAGAATTATTTTTTACAGAGCTATAACTTAAGATCATTCCCTGAGAAATCACTGAGAGCCAATATAAAACATGGATGATGCCTCTTTACTTAATGTTTCTATTGAGGATTTTGGCCACTAGTTTTTGAGTATTTTATATGTAAAGATCCTGAAGATTGGGTCTTCTCAAAGCTTGAGGTCTGGAACAAGTTTCTGATGAGCTGTTACTGTTATTTTTCTGATGGCAGACAATGAAAATGACCCAGCTCACTGAGTATCCTTCTTTGCTTTGCCTGCTGGGAGACTCAGAACAAAACTTTTTGTTCAGTCTGAATGTGTTGTATTTTGTTTTAATGGTTTAGTTTCATTCTTCAGTGTGTTTTTTTACAAAGTGCTTCAGATCTTTTTTTGAAAAGAGTAAAGGTATAGGTGTATAAATAGAAGATTGAATGGTAATAGGACCTGGATGACGATAGGGGAGATGGAGGGGCGGGGAACCAGAATTCCTGAAGAAAGGAAGAGGAAGAGAGGGTCGGGGTGATGAGGATATGAAGGTGAGTGTCAGAGAAAAGAAGAGAAAGTCTTAGAGCATTGCTCAGTGCCAGGGGGTTGGGAGGGGGTCCTGCCCCAAGTGGGCCCTCCACCCTCCTCCCTGGGCCTGATCCATGGCTTTGTTGGAATAGGCCTGAGCAGGAAAGTTAACGTTCTTGTGCTCTGGTTTCTCTCTCTGCTCCTGGCCCCAACAGGTTCGGGCCCTACTACACTGAGCCAGTCATTGCCGGCTTGGACCCAAAGACCTTTAAGCCTTTCATCTGCTCTTTAGACCTCATCGGCTGCCCCATGGTGACTGATGACTTTGTGGTCAGTGGCACCTGCACCGAACAAATGTACGGCATGTGTGAGTCCCTCTGGGAGCCCAACATGGTGAGTTGGTGGCACGGGGTGAGACTGGGTTCTGCGGTGCCCACCCCTTGGCCATCGGGGGAAATGTGTCTCCCTGGCAGGTAATGAGGAGAATGGTGTGGGTAGGAGAGAAAGCCACAACTGCCGAACCTTCGAAGGGTGTCCAGAAACTGTGTGCCAGGGCTTTGGTGTGGGCTGGCTGGCTGGCTCCCAGGGAGGGCACCTTCTGTTAGGGGTACTTCAGTCAGGTATTTGCTACAGCAACAGATAATTCCTTACACTGGGTTTAAGGGATTCTCACATCCATTCACTGAACATTTAACAAGGTGTAGGGTTAGAATAGGCCCTGGAGCCAGGTTATCTGCATGGGAAACCCAGATCCACCTATGATTTAATTAGTTATGTTGTTCTTTGCTTCTCTGTTGCCTCCATTTCCTCAGCTGTAAAATGAGGGTAACAATAGAACCTACCTTATGAGTGGTGGTGTGAGGAAATCACCTGGAAGGACTGGAATAGTGCCTGACAGTGAGGGCTGGCTGTCGTGCCAGCCCTTCCAGACTCTCGGGAAACCAGACAGTCTGTTTTCAAGGGCTCTCCACAGCCTGATGAAGCAAGACAGATACCCAAATACTTGTTAAAATGAAGTTTGCCAGGAAAAGGAGGAAAGAAAGGGCATGGCTGGCAGAAGGAACAGCCTATGCAAAGATACAGGAGGGGCCAAGTGTGTCCAGTGACTGGAGAGCGCTTGCTATGGCTGCTGGAGTGTGGGCAGAATGTGGGGGGAGAGAAAGGCGGATGACACTTTGCAATGCCTTGAATGCCACGCCAAGGAGTTTGAACTCTTTGTTTTGGTATGGTGTCAAAGGCAGTAAGAAACCTGAGGAATTGGAGGCCTGCAGGTAGGCAGGACAGGATACTGTAATCACCTGTGGGAGGTGCTGAGGTCCTGAGCAAAGAGAGTGGCAGTTTGGGAGCGGGACAGGCAGAGTCTAGAGAACTTGGTCACTTAAAACAGAAGTGAGGGAGGTGGAGATATTGAGGACCCTAGAGTTTTCTAGCTAAGTCAACCAAGATAGAGAATGTTGGAAAAGGAAAAGGTTTGGGAGGGAATGGGTTCATGGTTGGACAGGCTGAGTTTTGAGGTACCTCTGGGCCACCCAGGAGGAGAGCCCATCAGGGAGCTGATAAAGCACACAGGAGCCACGGGGATTCTTCTACCCATTTTCCAGAAGAGGAATTGAGGCTTAGGGTAGGGACATGTGACTTGTTCAAGATCACACTGCTGGTTAGTGGAGGGAGTTCAGGGCTTGAACTTTTCCTTCCATAACCTTGCTTCCTTCTGAGAAGGAACTGAGGTGGCTTCTCAAATCCCAGGAGCTACCTCTCACTTCAGGCACGGGAGAGGCCAGAGCTGGGCACCTTGAGCCTAGAGAAAAAAGTTAAGGAGCCAGACCAAGTTAGGATCCGAGGCTCTGGGAATTGAAAGGCTTCTGCTCTGTTGGCAGGATCCAGAACACCTATTTGAAACCATCTCACAAGCCATGCTGAATGCTGTGGACAGGGACGCAGTGTCGGGCATGGGAGTCATTGTCCACATCATGTGAGTATGCGTTGGGAGAAGTCTAGCAGCTTTGCAGACACCTGCCTCTCCTCTCCTGCACAAATACCACATCTTCCCAGCCCCCTAGTCAGGTGTGAAATAAGAAAGGCACTTGCAGCAGGCATGGGATAGCAGAAATCCATGCTTCCTAAGGGCGGCGACTGGGAGCCTACCCAGGTTTTCCTGGTCTCTGTCTGGTGAGGCTCCCTGACCCTAACAGTCTCCTCCCCTTGATCACAGTAGACATTTCTTTCCATCCTGAACAGTGTCCCCAGAGTCTCAGGAACCTGTGTGGGAATGAGCCACAGTACAGCCACTGCAAATTGATTGAAATAAATGCTGGGTGGCTCCTCTCCTCTCCCAGCTCACACTAGTGTGGAACCCACAACTGTGTGGTCTACTCAGCTCTGGGAATGATTTTCCAACCCCCAGCCAGATTCCTAACTGACACCCCCTTTTCCTTTGTACTTGCTTGGGGTTGTCACCAGGAACCTGACTGGATGAAGTCAAAGGTATCCTCCCAAAAGCTTTCCTTGGGAACATCCCAGCCTAAGCCTTACGACCCTTTTGTTATGGGATAAGCTGCTTAATTACCGTGAAAAAGAGATTGGGGCTGATAGAGAATTTACCACCCCCAGGATTTTTTATGATCACTGGAGTGAAACACATCACACCTCCTTCCTAGGCCTCTAGACCTGGGGAGCTCCTTCCCTTCTTTGGAGGGCTTCACATTCTGGCCCTGAATCATCTCAACTTTTGATGGCTCCACCTATGGAAATTTCTCCGTTCTCCCCCTTCCTCACCACAGGCCGAGGAAATGAGCTAACATTAACCATTAACATAACACGGGCAAAACTTAACCCCAGTTAGGACAGCTGTTTGTTCTAGTTTGTTCTGCCGTCTAGATGGGTGTAGATGTTTTGTGCCTTTCTCCCTCTGCAGTGAGAAGGACAAAATCACCACCAGGACACTGAAGGCCCGAATGGACTAACTCTGTTCCCAGAGCCCCCACCTTTTTTTTAAATAAAAGTTTTTCTTTCACTCCTGCTTCTTTGTCTTTTGAGTGCTTTACCAGATCTCTGTCCCCAGCTGGGCAGTTACAAATAGCTGCTTGGGTTATAGCTCACCCCTCAGGTTTTCTTCTTGACTTGCAGCGTGCTCCGCCGGCCCACGCGCAGGGATGATATCTATAGATCACTTGTTGGCTGCCTGCTATGTGCTAGCGCAGCACAAAGTGCTTTACGCATTCTAGAATTTAATCATGTTGACTTAAGGTAATTGACATCCTTGTTTAATGGTAGTTAAATAACTTGCCCGTGGCCACTTTAATAGGTGGTAGGGCAAAGATGTAAACCCGTGTTCCATTTGACTCCAAAGCCAATCCTTTTTATTCAATTCTTGGAAAACCCTTAAATCTTTCATTTTTTCAGACAGAAATTTGGCCAAGTATCCACAAGTAATTTCCTTGTACACCAGTGTTTTTTAATCGTGGCTGCACATTAGTCACCTAGGGAGCTTCTAAAACACAGGTATTTAGATCCCATCCCTCAAGATTCTGATTTGTCTGGCCTTTTAAAGGGGCCTGGGCACCTATTTTTCCAAAAGTTCCCCAAATGATTCCAGCTTGCAACCTAGATGCCCTAATTAGCAAGTAGTTCCTAAACTTTAGCCTCCATCAGAATCACCTGGAGGGCTTATTAAAACAGTTTCTGATTCAGGTCTGCAGAGGGACTGGAGAATTTGATTCCCACATGCTGCTGACACTGCTAGTCTAGAACCACATTTGAGAACCACCAGATTTTAATCTAAAAGAGCTTAGATGGAGAACCTGAGGCACATAGAGGTGTCTTGTTAAGTCAGCCACATAGCTAGCCAAGGGAGAGCTGGGGCCGGTGTGTGGCTTCTGGCAAGTGTTGTTGGTTCTATGCAGCTGGAGAAGGGAGGGCCGGTTTGTCCACTCCTCAGTGAGCATGGGAGCGACGGCTGGCAGCCTCTGGTGCCTGTGCTCTTAACCACTGCTTAGCGACTGCGCCTGAAAGTGGGTGACCAAAGTCACTGACGTCTTTGTCCAAACTCAAGCCATACCCTGACTTAGCCCAAGCAGCCTTTGAAACTGGGACCCAAACCTTTTAATTATGAAAAGGATAAATAAAAGGCTCATTTCCAAAGGACTCACACATAACAGGTATATACACAAAGCTTTTTTGAGTTTTATTTTTTTTCCTCGGGTTGGAGATTCATCTTAACATGCATGCATTTAAAACAGTAACGAGGTCTCGAATTGTTCCGAGCAGACGTTAGACAAGCACAGGGGGTTGAAAATTCCTATTTAAAAAATGGAAATTGCAGTGGGAAATTGAGAAGTCACACACATATGGTGGGGTGGTAGTTTATCCTGCTCTCCCAAAAGCTGAATCTAAACTTTATTCACATTTTTTGATTACAATATCTGACCTGATGCTTGAGTGTGCTGAGCAGCACCAGGCCTTCCCCCAAAGGTTGTTGGTTCCCACTTCCTCACAAAATGGCTCTGAGCAAGGGGAAGGGGCTTCTCTGGAAGTTTCCTCCCCAGCCTCCAAAGGATCTCGGCACAACTCGCTGGGGACAGGCAATTCTCTTCCCTTTGGAGACACTCTCCCTAAGTGGCACGTTTCAGAAGGCTAGGGCTAAGTCATAGCCCCCTGCAGATGGCTGGTAAAGTTGGGGGCAGTTTGAATGTTTTCCCTTTGATTCCTGTGCTCAGGCTGGATCCCCCTCCCCACATTTCTGCCAGAAAGAAGTGAGGTCCCTGGAACTGGGGGAGCCACAGGTCTAAGGCCAGAGCTCTAAGGGTAGTTTAAACACATTGTCCCTTCTGGCCCCTAACACTTGAGTAGCTCAAATGCTGGGGATTGCTGTATTTTTCTCCCTACCTGAATTGGTAAAGAGACAATTACGGGGGTGGGACTGGCTACTGAGAAAAGTCCTGGGTCTTTGGTCCACCTCCCCGGGGCAGGCCCTGGCAGACTGTGAAGAGGGGAAACTCGGTAGGGCAGGAGTGAGCCCTGAGCACTACCAGGGGACCTGTTTGAGGTCTAAAGCACAGGCAAGAGAAACAAAAGTAGGAAGAGGGAGAAGGGAGGACGAGCTGCCTGTGGTGGGAACCTAGGTTGTGCCACTGAGAAAAGCCAAGGGGCGACTCGTAGCACGTGCCACAGACCCGTAACCCCTGAGCTAGATAAGGAGAGATCAAGCACTGCTTCGGTCTGTGCTCCTGGAGCTGGCTTCCTAACCTGCCCCGTAACCCCCAAACTGCAGGGCACAGGGAAGGAGCTTGCACTGGGGGACCAAGACTCAGTGGTTCATTAATAGGAACAAGGGCCAGAGGCCTGCTAGTGGTCTAAGCGGAATTTTCAGAGAACCCCTCCCTTTGGTGGGGAGACCTGGGAGACTAGAGTTTTCTCAGCCACACTTTCAGAATTAGAGGGGCAGGACAGGAGAAGCTGTGACTGGTTAAATGGTAGAGGGAGAGAACAGAGGGGAATCCTGTCCTTATCCCTAACCAGGCCTCACCTAGTCACCCACGTCCCATTCTTATATCTTTGTTCTTGGGAGACCCCAAATTATTCTGGGATGCCGTAAGACCTTTCAGCTTTTCTTCATGGCTCCAAAGAGTGATGGGGAGGGTAGTCACCTCCCCTTGGATGCCTTCTACTGCCCAGCGAGGGAAGGGTGGGGCTTGGAGAAGAGTAGGGGCAGACAACTTTGGGGATCACTTCACTTTCTCTACATTCAGACTGCAAACCAAATATAATATCTTCATCATTACAAAAAAAAAAGAGAGAGAAAAAACTTGTATAAACCAAGATAAATAGCTTTTAAACATCTGAATGCCAAAGGAATTAGAGGACCAAACCCAAGGTTTTGCAGATAGCACAGAGAATGACCTTTAAAAAAAATTTAAAATCCTCCAAACCACTGCTCAAATGTTTCGACTCGGTCAACAATACTGTCAGAAAAACAAAAAGAGCATTTAAAATAGAATGCTTTCTCTCAAAATGTAAACAATGTACAAAAAAAAAACCCACAAAAACTCAATGTTAAAGAAGTTAGATATCTGGTAGCTCACCTTTAACTGATACGACTGGTTACACTTTTCGTACACATTATGGCAACACGATCAGCAGACCAAATGCAGGAAGCCGATGGGAGCCCAAGGCTGTGGAGGCCGTTGGGGGACAACCTGCCAAGCTTTGGAGACGCTGGGCCTGACTAGGAGCAGATCCAAATTTTCATTCTTGATCAGGAGATGAGGAAATCAAGTCCAAACATCATTCCTACTAATCCCTTCCTAAGTCAAATGTGTTTTCTTCATGAGTCACTTGGTTCCAAGTTCTTCCCCAAGTCACTTCGCAGTCTTGCTGCTGACGTTCAGAGCTTCCTACAGCCCCTTCCTGGGGCCAGGGCAGTTATTTGGCCCCAGTCTGCCTCTCCCAGAAGGGTTCCAACAGCCCCAGTGGAGTCCAAGAATGCGGCCTCCCTGACCTAAATGCTGTTGGCTAGGCACAGAGACGGTGCTCGTTCCTGCTCCGGAAGCTGAGCTTGGCCAGGTTTGGAGGAAGCCAAGGAAACCAATCTACTCATTCAAAATGGTTCCACAAACTTTCTTTCCATCTGTGGAGTTATCTACAAGTTTTACCGTATCTCATTCCAAATCCCCAGTTCCTGGTGAGAAGGTGAGAAGATGCAGGAATGTACCTCCCCCAGCACAGGGCTGTTTTCTCTCCTAGCCAGACCAGACTGCTCTGATGGCATCACAGAGGGGCACAATTCTGAGGCTCAGTTCTGAGGCCTGGGTAGCAGGCTCAGAAGGTGAGTAGAGATCCTGTAGGAAGCTGCAGGATGCCACTCCAGAGGAGGCCTGTGGGTGGCTGAGCTGCTAAAAGTCTAGAGGCGGGCATCAAGGAGAAACAGCTCTGAGGTTGGGGCCAGGTGGAACCCCACATCAAGCCTCCACACTGGAGTTCCTGGGTCATATCCTCAAGTGGCTCAGGCTTGGGTGCCACAATCCAAGGTATGCTGGCCACAACCATCCAGGTGACAAACCACAGGCACAGGGAGTCAGATAACCTACATGGTAGCCCTGGGGCTTGAAGAGGTATCTCTGCAAGGAGCAGCCCAGGCACGTGGAGATCTGCCCCCACCTAAAAGTTTACTGATAAGTGAGAGTGCCTGGGAGAAGGTTAGAAGGAAGTAAATGGATGGAGGGCACAAGACTTCATTTGATACTCATCAGCCATTTAAGCACGAGGGTCGTGTTATATTGAAAGGTGATTTCTAGTTCCTCTTGACTCAGTGAGCAACAGGCTTTATGGTGAAATCTGAACTCCAGAGACCGAGAGAGCCCAGGGGCTTGGGTGATGGTCATGGGGTTCTCTGAGAACCAGCTGTCTGAGAGCCCACCAGCCCCCACTGAACCCTTACCATCCATGAGGATGAACTCACTCCCATCTAAGATCTGTGATTCTGATCCAAGATGCCTGATGTTGATCTGGAGTGTTCCTTCAGGAGGGACAGCATTTACATGGAGGAATCATGTAACATTTCACTTGGATCCAAGGCGGAAAGGTGAAGGAAGCTGTGCACGATACTCCATGAAGTAAAAAAAATTAAATCCAGACTAGATCAAATGCAGCAGGGCTGAGGCGGTCTAACCGCTTCTCCTCTGGTATCAGAGCGCTTTGCTCTGAGAGGACCCTTGGCTGGGTCTATGAGTGCTTCTTTAATTGAAGGGAACTGACAGCAGGGCAGGGATGGGGAGGGTGGATAAGGTGACAGACATCATTATAAATAGCAAATCTGGAGCAATGAAATTTCAAAAACAAAACCCAAATAAGCCCACACAGTCATCTCTAGCCCCAAGGTATCTTAAAAGGTTACAAGGTAACAAAAAGGAAACTCCTTTTTTAACCTGGGTAAATGTGGGGGGAAGAAATCAAGGGTAAGCAGAAGGTGAGGCTACATCCTGTGAGCACGCACACACAGCACATCCCCTCCTCCCCAGCAGGGTCTCTTTCAGTGTCACAGGCTGCAGTCTCATTGCTAAAGCCCTTCCCTACCCCAACTCTGCTCCCCACCCTCCCATCTAGCCCAAATACACCCTCTCCCTCTTCCAATCCCCGACCCCACATCCAGCACTCTGGCTCTGGCTGACGGTAGAGGGTAACTACGTCAGGATGTTGGACATGAACTCGTTGAAGCGTTTGGAGTACTGTTCAGGGTTCACAGTCGAGATCTCGGCCCCCGCCTGTAATATACAGAAGCCAACTCAGGTCGAGCTCCTTGGTCTTCATCAGGAGGCTGCACCTGGGAGGGGTCTGGGTATTCAGGAACCTCTGGTTCCGCATAAGAGCTAAATACTACCCACCGCCCCGAACTGGGCAGGCCACTTTGAGAAACGGTTCCCATGTCTCAAAATTGCCCTGGCCCCACTCCTCTGATTCACAACCCTCAGGGCTGTACCCACTGAAGGAGGGCAAGGCAGTGGGGGAGGTGGCAGAGAAGCTCCAGATCTCTGTGGGGCCCCTCTTTGGAGAACAGTAGTTTGAAGTCCATGGGGAAACAGGCCCCTGGGGAGCAGTGTGGGCATGTAAACAGAGCTATTACCAGTGGTCAACAAGACGCACAATATGCCCAGCAGCCCTGGGGAAAGGAGCCAGAGAACTAGGCGAAAAACAAGTTGGGCATATCAGCCAGCCGCTGATGGGGATATGCTGTAGACAGTGAAAAGGGGACACAAAGCAACCAGGCAGGCTGCCCTTCCTGTTCCCTGTCCTGGGGGGAGGGGGCAGGAGGGTGTTTCCTTAGAGTAAGAGGCCTCCTTGGGGGTCTGAGAGCCCACTCCCCAGGCCTGGATGGAGACAGGAACTCACCCCGTGTTTCACTGTTTTGGCAGCATGTGCAGCTTTCTTCTTAGCATCATATGGTGTGAGTATATCAATGATGGCCATGAAATAAACTTCCTTCTTGGGGGCACCTGAATGAGGAGAGGAAGCAGGAAAGAAGAGGCAGGCAGAAGACCAGAAAGCAGCTGGGTCCATAACTCCTCAGATATGACATCCAGATTCATCCCTATCATTTGGAATCTGAGAAAAGGGATGGCCAGTGGAGTCCTTCTTAGAAGCTTTCATAGCTCTTATTTTATTTAATCTTCACAGCTACCCTGCAGGATTGACATGACACTATTTACGAAGTTTTGTCCACCCCATGAACCAGAGCTCAACCACGCCTCAGCTGTCCAGGACAAGCAAAGAGTGAAAGAAGGCCTGACAGAGAAGAATCCCAGGGCCCCAGAAGACAGAGTGACCGGTAGTGACCCAGGATGGCAGCCTAGAGCCAGAAAGAGGCCAAAGTCAACAGTTAATAAGGTGGAAGCCCAGACACCCACGGGTCATCTACACAACAGGCTGGAAGGGGGAGGTACAGGTGCAGGCTCCTACTTACTTTCATGGCTTTTCATGGCATAGACATCAACAGAGGGATCAAACTCGCCAGGCCCGAAGAACCGGGGAAAGCTGAGGAGGTTGCCCGGGCTGTCCGGAGGTGTGCCGTAGGAGCAGAGCAGGTTGCCGCCCACCCCGTCGTTCTCACACTCCTCGTCCTCTGCCCGCTCCTCCACCTCCATCTCCTCCTGCTCTGCCCGGTCCACATCGTGGATGCCCACCAGCAGGCTGTAGTCCATGATCTTCAGCTGGGCCAGGAACTAGGAGATGGGGGAAGGAGAGGTGGAAGGAAGAGGTTACATGGGACATCTGGAGAGGCAGAGTGGTATCTGGAAAGAGGAGAAAGGGCATTCCTTTCAACTCAATTCTCCCATTCTGAATAAGACAGTAGAGTCTCTGCCCTCAATGAACTTGATGTCTAATGGAAAAGACAGTCATTCCACAAGGGCAAGAAGCTGTGGGAGTCCAGAGCAGCAGGGGGAGGGCCTCCATGAGGAAAGGAGTTGAAACTGAGCCTCATGGATGAAGAGGAGTCAGGCAGGCAGAGGTTGGGAGTAAAAGTAGAAGGCGCACTGCAGGAAGAGAAACAGGCCATTCCATCTGGGATCAAAAGAGGACATGGCTAGCCAAAACAAACTTGAGAAAGAAGAACGGAGCTGGAAGAATCATGCTCTCGGACTTCAGGCTATACTACAAAGCTACAGTAATCAGAACAGTATGGTACTGGCACAGAAACAGACACACAGATCAATGGAACAGTACAAAAGCCCAGAAATAAACCCATGCACTTATGGGTCAGTTAATCTACAAAGGAGACAAGAATATATAATGGAGAAAAGATAGTCTTTTCAATAAGCAGTGCTGGGAAAACTGGACAGCTACATGTAAAAGTATGAAATTAGAACATTCCCTACCACCATATGCAAAAGTAAACTCAAAATGGATTAAAGACCTAAATGTAAGACCAGATACTATAAAACCCCTAGAGGAAAACACAGACAACACTCTGACATAAATCACAGCAATATTTTTTGGATCCATGTCCTAAAGTAATGGAAACAAAAGCAAAAATAAACAAGCGGAGACCTAATTAAATTTAAAAGCTTTTGCACAGCAAAGGAGACCATAAATAAAAAGACAACCTACAGAATGGGAGAAAATATTTTCAAATAATGTGAATGATAAGAGATTAATTTCTAAAATATACAAACAGCTTATACAGCTCAATATAAAAAACAAACCACCCTTCTGGATACAAGCCCAGGAGTGGGATTCCTGGATCATACTGTAAGTCTATTCCTCGTCTTTTGAGGAATCTCCACACTGTTTTCCATACTGGCTGCACCAAACTGCATTCCCACCAGCAGTGCAGGAGGGTTCCCCTTTCTCCACAGCCTCTCCAGCATTTGTCATTTGTGGATTTTTGAATGACGGCTATTCTGACTGGTGTGAGGTGATACCTCATTGTAGTTTTGATTTGCATTTCTCTGATAATTAGTGATATTGAGTATTTTTTCAT